TGGGGGACCTGCACACGGGGACCCGCACACCCTGGGACCTGCACACAGGGGACCTGCACACACGGGCGTCCTGCCCAGGGGGGCGTGCACACGGGGGACCTGCACACAGGGGGACCTGCACACAGGGGGACCTGCACACACGGGGGATCTGCACACGGGGACCTGCACACGGGGACCTGCACACGGGGACCTGCACACCAGGGACCTGCACACGGGGGACCTGCACATGGGGACCTGCACACACGGGGGACCTGCACACGGGGACCTGCACACACGGGGGACCCACACACCCGGGGGACCCGCACACCCGGGGACCTGCAAACCCGGGGGACCTGCACCCGCAGCTCCCATGCCCGTGGGAGCACCTTGCTCTGGGTGGCCCTGTGCACGCCTGGCGCGGCTTCACCCTTCCCCTCCTGCCCTCTCGTGGCTGGACCTCTGCACCCCAACCTGACACTGCCTGAGGCACACGAGGAGGAGTGTCCTGCCCAAGGTAGCCACACCATGGGCTCGGGCACTGTGCCTAGGCACACCCTCAGCAAGTCACACTGAGACCCAGGGACCTGCAGACACGCACACTCACTGAGGGTCCTCGATCCCGGGACTGGGACCTGCCAGGCTGGCGTCCCCATCCACAGGGACGGTGGTCTGCGGGGTGGCAGGGCCAGGGTGCTGCAGGAATGTCTCCCTGACCAACAGCTCAGCAGGAGCCCTGGGTCACCTGGTCACCTGGAGGCCGTTGGCAGGGGCTCGGCTTTCACAGGAACAGCCTGGGAACCTGAGGGTCGGGCGCTAGGACTCCCACTTTCAGAATGAGACAGAGTGAGTTTTAGGGCACTTGGACAGCTGCCCCTCGGGTCCCGCCACGTGGGCTGTGCCAGGGTCCTGAGGTCTCTGAAGTAAAGCTGCCCAGATGGGGGGCGTCAAAGATGGCTTATTCCCCACCGTCTGGGAGCAGGACGTGGGGCCCAGGTGTGGCAGGGCTGGCTCCTGATGCTGTGCGGAGCCTGGGGAGCCCCCAGGTGGTGGCTGGCCAAGTACATCTCCAGTGTCACCCAGCGTCCTCCCCCGAGCACCAGTGACATGGGATCAGGACCCCCCCACGACCTCATCTACAGGAATTCCCTGTAATGGCCCTATGAGGTGGACACAAGCTCGGGAGGACCCGGCTTGGCCTGGCACAGCCTCCACCAGGCCTCCCCGCCCCCCCGGCCCCCTCCACGAGGGCCAGGGTGTCCGGGGGCCACGACCTGCCTTCGCTCCCTGCAGAACCGCATGAAGGAGAGCCTGGCGCTGTTCGGCACCATCCTGGAGCTGCCCTGGTTCCAGAGCACCTCGGTCATCCTCTTCCTCAACAAGACGGACATCCTGGAGGAGAAGATCCCCTCCTCCCACCTGGCCACCTACTTCCCCAGCTTCCGGGGTGAGTGATTCTCCACAGCAGCTCCCGAGAGGCCCGGCCAGGGCCCCCAGGGCGGCAACAGGATCCGACCGAGTCCTGACCAGCGCCGTCCACTGCCCGACCTCTCTGAGCTTACGTCGCCCCCTCTGCAGAGGGGTCAAGAGGACAGGCCCAGGCCAGAGGCAGTTGGCAGAAAGGAGTTCTAGAAGGCGCTGTGACGTCACCTACTTGTTATTTCCGTGGTGTGGGGTGGACCCAGGCCCTCTGCATGCTAGGCCCCGTGCGAGGCCCCCGGTCCGGGCGCCCCAGCTCTCGTGGGGCCTTGACTCGTGGCCGTGGGCTGCTTTCCACGGCCTGCCCGGACGGGCACGGCTGGCTAAGCAGGTTGGGATGCAGCCCCGGGTCCAGCAGAGGGTTAGAGGTCAGGCCTGGCTGGAGAGGGGCACAGGCTGGCTCCTTCCCCGAGCACCACCACCGGGGTAGGGGGCGGGAGCAGGTCCTACCTATCTAGTGACGAGGGCCCAACAGTCCCCAGGCCGCACGCTCGAGCGGCCATTTCACTTGGCTTCTGAGTTCGTGGGTCAAGCTCTGGGGAGAGCTGAGCCGGGCTGGGTTTGTCCTGATCCACGAGGCACCGACCGGGGGTGTCTGGCGCCGAGGAACAGCTCAGGAAGGCTCTCCCCGCGGGCGCTGGGCCTGTCCTCGCGGCCTCCCCTGTCCCCACGAGGCTGCACCCGGATCCAGCTTGTGGCTGCATGTGGCCGGGGCTCCCCCACACGATGGCTGAGGCAGGTTCACAGACGGCGCCCAGGCGTGGGCTGGCCATCGAGACCAGGCTCAGACAGTCAGGATAGCCCTCGTCCCACTCTGTCGCCCAGCACGTCACGCCAGTGAGCCCCGGCTCAAAAGGAGGGGCCCCACGTACCCAGAGATGGAGGACCAATGGGTGGCCCTCTTGGAGACCAGCAAAGGCTGGGCGCGGTCACCCCGTCTGTCTGCCCAGCGGCTTGGGGAGCTGAGGCAGGGGGATGGCCAGCCTGGGCAACTTGGCGAGACCCTCTCAGTATCAACAGGGATACTTGCGGGCTGCAGCTCCGTCCCAACCAACCAGCCTCAGGCCACAAAACCAGGGTTCCAGAGCTCAGTGGACCCTCCCCACGAGGCCTGGGGGCGGAGTCAGGGTGTGGCCTGCTGCCCTGCGGCCTCCCGGGGGGCGCCCCCCTCGCTGTTCCTCGTCCACAGACGCAGGCTCCATGGCTGTGCCCCTGTGGCACGGCCACCTCCTCACCACACCTGCGTCTCCACTTGCCCCAGGGCCACCAACCAGTGGCCTTAGGGTCACCCTCGTCAGCCTGACCCCATTTCATTTAAATAATGGCATCTGCAAATACCCTACTCCCCCAAAGTCCACACTCTCAGGTCGACGAGGACGCAGAGTTTGAGGGACACTATCTCACCCCAAATCATAATGAGCCCCAGTAGATGAGGCTCGCAGGGCCTGCTTGGCAGCAGGTCAAAGGTCAACGAACATGACCTCTGGAGAGGTTGCCGGGGTTTGACCCCCGGCCTTGCTGCGTCGGAGCCCCGAGGCCAGTTCTGCCGGTCACACCCACAAGGTCGAGGGTCTGGGAGGCCGAGGCCAGGTTGAGGCCAGTGGCCTGGACGCCCTGCGCTCTTCCCAGCTGAGCCCGAGGGTCCATTTGGCCCAGGGGTGTGGGAGCAGGGGAGGGGAGGGATGGTGTGAGGGACTTCTTCGGTGGCCAGAGCACGTCACCAGCTGCTGGCCCCTCACCATGGAGGACCGCCCGAGGGGAGCTCTCGGCTGGGCGCCCTTTGTCCTCATCTGGAAGCCCAGTGCAGGGGACCAGGACAGCGGCCACCTGCTGACAGCCAGAGTTGGTCAGCGGGAGGCGGGACTTGAACCCAGGACGTGAGGACCTGCAGCTGGAGCCCCAGCCACTCTGGCACCCAGGGAGGCGCGTCTGGAGTGCGGGGCCCTCTCCGTGACAGCCCCCTTGTCTCCGCCCCGCCAGGCCCTGACCGCCCCAGCTGGCGGAGATCGGGGACTGACCTGTTGGCAGCTGGGTAGCCACAGCAGCGCAGGGTGGGCCTTGGGCAGCCCGAGTCACGCTGTGCTTTCCGCCCTGCGTCCCCAGCCCCGAGGTGCCCGTCCAGGGGTGGCCCAGGCTGACGGGGGTCCCTCCCTCCCTTGGCCTCGGCGGCTCCAGGATCCCGAACCCCCACCCCGAGTCCAGCCCAGAGTCCCAGGACCACGTCCCACCGCCCCCTCCCATCACGGCGTCCTTGTGAGCCTTCCCGCGGGCTCTCGTAGGCTGGGCCGGGTCACGTGGCCGGCGATGCCCACAGAGGGGGCAAAGAGGGTCCTGATGCCCCCGTCTCCCTTCCCAGGCCCCCGGCAGGACGCGGAGGCGGCCAAGAGGTTCATCCTGGACATGTACACGGGCATGTACACCAGCTGCGTGGACGGCCCCGAGGGCAGCAAGCGAGGCCCCCGCTCCCGCCGCCTCTTCAGCCACTACACGTGCGCCACCGACACGCAGAACATCCGCAAGGTCTTCAAGGACGTGCGGGACTCGGTGCTGGCCCGCTACCTGGACGAGATCAACCTGCTGTGACCAGGCCCCCGGCAGGCGGCGGGCAGTGGAGATGGACCCCAAATGCCCATCGCTCCAGCCCAGGGCCACTGCCCCTCTCTCCTCTGCCCCTCACCTGGTCAGCCGTCCCCCGCCGACCTCCTTGACTCCATTGACGCCCTTGGAAAGGGAGGAACAAAATGGCCTCTGGGGATGCCAGAGTGGGGGGAAGGTCAGGCCCCGGGTGGGAGGCTGCGTGGGAGGGCCTCGCCCCGTGTCACTGGGTCACCCTGCCCTGGGAAAGGAGCTGTCCTTCAGGGTGGGCTCTGGCGCCCTCTGGTGGCAGCAGGGGGAATCCCCGCCGATGGCGCTAACCCAGGACAGGTGGCCGGGCAGGGGCCTCTGGCGGCCACCACAGAGCCACCTTCCAGAGCCCCCAGGCCCACAGCGTCCTGCCCCGGTGTGCAGAGGAGGAACCCGAGGCCCCAGCGTCCCTCTCCTGCTCCCAACAGCCTCTGTATTTATTCCCCCGCGTTCCACCAGGCCCCCTTGTGGGGTAGACATTAAAGAAAGGACCCTGAGGTCGGGGCTTCCTGGGGGTGTGTCCACAGCCTCCTGCCCTCCCCATGCCCCCTTCAGCGACCCGCCCAGGTGCCATGGCGGCAGGGGTCTGGGAAACAGCACGGGAAGCCAGGGAGGGAAGTGCCCCTCGTCCCTCCCGCCACCGCCCCGTCGCTGGTCACCGTGGGCCAGGAGGTGAAGTCCCACCCCACCCACCGCCCATCACCTGCACCCAGCCCCGTGCCACCCAGCCAGCCCCCACATGGTCCCCAGGAGCCCTGGAGGGTGGCTGAGCTGGCCCACCTGGTGGCCCTGGCCTTCTGGCACCTGACGCACGTTTTACGACTTTGGTTTAGATTCACACAGACGTTTGTGATGTGGCACGCGGGGACATGGCCATCGCAGCGCCCAGGCCCACTCGGCTTCCCCAGGACAGCCTCACCTGGGGCAGTGGCTTGGCCACCCTGGTGGGCCAGCCTCCGCGTCCACAGAGGCCGGATTCCTTCAGGACCCCGGCTGGTCCCAGACCCAGGACCTGGTCCACCCCACGGGGCCTCAGGTCTCTGGCTTCTCTAGCTGGTGCCAGACGCCCCTCGATTTTGGGGTGACTGGTCTGCGGGGGCTGGCAGGTGCTGGGGGCTCAGAACACGCATGGCTCTTAGTCTGGAGGCCAGAGCACGGGCTCAGGGACGAAGGGCCAGCTTCGGCCCCTCCGAAGGCCAACAGAGACAGAGGGAGGCCCTCCCTGCCCGTCCAGCCCCTGGGTCGCCTGGCGCGTGGCCGCAGTGCCCGGCCCGCCTCCTCCTCCGTGGCTTCTCCTCCTGCAAGTGTCTGTCCGGGTTCTCTGTCTGGTCTCAGGGCCTTGACCTCCACTGAGCCACCACTGCCCCCTGCCCCAGCGCTGTCCCAGGCGCCCCACGGAGCCCTCCCCAGCCCTTCTTATGTTGATTTTGAGACCGGGCCTCACTAAGTTGCCCAGAATGGTCAGGAGCTTGGGATCCTCCTGCCTCAGCCTCCCACGTGGCTGGGATTCGAGTTGCAAGCCTCCAGGCCCGGCCTCTTCCTCTTCTAAGCACCCTCCTCACCTGGGCCCGGGGTCCACCCGAATGGCCTCGTCTTAGCTGATTCCATCTGTAAAGACCCTATTCAGCTGGGCACAGTGGCCACACCTGTCATCCCAGCAACCTGGGAGGCTGAGGCAGGAGGATCACAAGTTCAAGGCCAGCCTGGGCAACGTGGCAAGGCCCCATCTCAAAATATAAAAATAAGCAGGACTGGGGTGGGCTCAGGGGGTCCCCGGGTCAGTCCTCGGCCCCCCACAGAAGGCACCAGACGGGAGGTCAGTCTCAGGTGCTGCCAGGTGTTTTGTGGGAAGCCCTTTGCTGGGTCAGTGCCAGGGTCGGTTGGGGCTCGGGGACTTGGTGGAGGAGCTGAGAGGTCATCAAGATCCCATCGAGGCACAAGCCGCCAAGTGACTGGCACAGCGCGTTCCCTCCGCTCATCGGCAGGCGATGGCACGGATCCCGGGTCAGGCCCGCAGGTCACCTGTGAGCCAAACCCAGCCCGAGCCTGCTCTGGGGCACCAGGCCACGCCTGCCTGGACACCACCGGGCCTTACCCGCAGCGCCGTGTCCCGGGAGCCACCACCGAGGGTAGAAGGCTTTGGGGGAAAAAGTTCCAGAAAGTGCTGTGTCTGAGGCTCAGGGTGGAGACTCTCCTGGCACTCGTGAGCCGGGTTCGAGTCTCAGCACCACATGACACTAAAGTAGAGGTATCGGGTCCTCCTACAGCTAAACACATATTTTTAAAACATTCCAGAAAGTTCCGAAACACAACACGGTTTTGCCGTGTGCCCAGCTGGTGGCCCAAGTGGGCAGCCCGGCTGCGGGCACCTCTGCCATCCAGACCCTCTCCAGCGCCCTCTCCTGCGTGGCCAGGGCTGAGGTGTGCACCCGCCAGGGACTTTCCCAGTCACCGTCCCCCGACAACACGGACGCTCCGTGCCAGCCCCGAGCCGGGCACCGCAAGTCGTCAGGGCGTCCGGAGTCCACGGAGGTAAATGCTGCTCCAGAGAGCATCCCCGCCGTGGACGCTCTGTGCTGTCCACTGCACCAGCAGATTGAGTCGGGGGTGGACATGGTCCAGCTGGACGGTCGTGGCCTTCACAGGCGCTGACCTGGGCGTGGTGACCGCGGGCCGTCTCCCTCTCCCCCTCTCACAGCAGGTGCGCCCTGTGCCGACGTTTTTACAAATAGGTTGCGAGTGAGTCGAAGCCACCGTGGGCTTTTGTCCCAACACCACGCGTCCCCCAAGAGCAGAGGCGTCCCTTACCCAGCACCACGCCTGGCGGGTCACAAGGAATGCCCTTTGACACGTACACACCATTGCACCGCCGTGCCCACGGCGGGCCCTTCTGACTCCGAGGCACCTCTGATTTCTATCATGGGGAAGCTCGGCGTGGAATTACCATCTTACCCATGTCCCAGTGGGCAGCTCGGTGGCCCGGGGCAGTCAGGGGCTGAGCAGCGACCCCATCTCCCTCTCCAGAACTTTCCATCTCCCCAAACTAAAGCTGTGCCCCTTGGCCCTGACCCGGGCACCAGCCCTGGCTCCGTGGTGCTGTTTCCTGCCTCCGCGGCTCTGAGCCTCCAGGGCCCCTCCGGTGACCCCCCAGGTGACCCCCCAGGATGTCCTTCTGTGTCCAGTTCTCACTGTCCGAGGTCCCACCTGCCGCAGGTGCTGGGAGCCCTTCTCCCTGGCTGGGGACGCTCCCGTGTGTCCAGTCTTGTCCCACTCCCTCCCCAGCCTCAGGACACGGGTCCTGCCCACTGGGCAGCCCAGCTGCCTGCTGCCAGGCCAGCCCCACACGTCCCCGTGTCTCTGCCAAGGAACGCTCTCATTCTCTGGGGCTGTCCCTGGTGGAGATGCTGGGGCCAGGGGACCATCATCCACCTGTGAGGCTTGAGTTGTCCCAGGCCGGGCACTGCTGCCCCTTCTGGCCACCCAGGGTCCCCAGGCTCCCGACTCCGTGGCCCCCAGAGGTCCCACTCGCCATCTGGCTCCTGCATGAGCAGGTCCCGGGAGCCCTGCGTCCCGCTTAGGGTCAGGGCAGGAGGCACTTAGGAGCCAGAGCTGGTGCTCAGGGCTCTGGGTGCCCTCAGCGAAGGGAGTGGGACTCGGGGGTCTCTGTTGGCCTCCTGTGGTGCTGGGGGTGGAACCCAAGGTCGCGTACAAGCTGGGCCAGTGCTGACCACTGAGCTACCACCCCAGCCTGAACCCTGAGTCACAGGGACCCGCAGGATCCGTCACCTGCCTCGGGGTCCTTCCTGGTCCACCAGTGCCCCATCCCCCTGCTGTCCCTTGGGAGACGCTGGTCCCCGGCGAGGTCAGTGCACTAGGTCCTCCCTCCACCCCAAGCACAGCGCCCCTGCCCAAGCACAGCGCCCCTGCCCACGCACAGCGCTGAGCGGCCCTGCTCCAGCCTGCCCTGGCTGGCTCCGTCCTCCGACAGTGCCTCCTGTCCTGGGAGTGACCCGGGGACACAGCTCTGCTCCTGGAGACCTTCCCGCTTCTTCTGGTGACCCACCGGGGCAGCAGCCGAGCTCCCGGCCTCTCGCGGGCAGGGACGTGGGGTCGCTGTCCGACGTTTGTTCGTCCACGGATGGCGGTGGGGGGGGGGAGCCTCCCCAGCCAGGCACGCGTCACCCAGCTGCACCCGGTGGGCAGCTTGAGGTCTGAGGGCCCCTGGAGGAGGCTGGGTGTCGTCCGTCCTTGGGGCCCATCTGGAGGGGTCACCCCCAATCCCACAGGCCCAGCACAGGGGAAGCCCTTTCCCTGGGGGCAGGAGCTCCGCAGCTGAAGGTCCTGCCTGGGGACGGCCACACCCTGGGGACTGCGCCTGGGTTTGGGCCCTGCTGGAGCCAGGCTGTCACAGGAGGGGCTCAGCCAGAACCGGGGTTCAGCTTGGGGTCAGGCCTCGACAGGATCGGGGCAGGGTTGGGGTACGCTTGAGGTCATGGGCCCCGCCTGGCTACCCTGGGATCAGGGCTCAGTACAGAATCAGGGACCCCGGCAGGTGGCTCAGGGATGGCGGGGGAGGGGAGGGGGAGGGGTGGGGTGGGGGGTGGGGGTGGACTCCGCTCAAGGCCGGGGCTGGGCTGGCATCAGGATCAGAACCAGGCCTGCACTCAGCTGCCTGGGCTCAGCCAGGACCAGGCTCTGGACGGGGAGCCGGGCTCAGGGCTCAGCTTGGGTTGGGGGCAACCTAGGATGGGCTCCGTCCAGGGCGGGGCGGGCAGTCAGAGCTGGCCCCAGGACTCGGGGACTGTCCTGAGGGGGCCTGGAGCTGGCTGCCCAGCGCGCGGGGTGGCGCCTGGGCCTCTGCCTCTGCTGTCTCCTCCGACCTCCTCCCCCTCACCTCCTGCTACCTCTGCTCGGTCACCTCAGGGACAAGAGCTGGCCCCTCCCAGGCCAGCGCAGCTTCCCGCAGCCACCCGCCCAGCGCTGGCGGTAAGTGGGGGCTGGGGTGCCAGGCAGCTCCTCGCTCCTCTCTGCCTTCCGGGGGCACTTGGCTTCTTGGGTGGGCACCTGGCCCCTCAAGGTCACCTGGGCCTCTTCGTGAACGACCTGGCCCCTCGTGGGGCTCCTGGCTGGCAGAGCTGGTGTGGCCACCCCTGCCCGCGGCCAAGGGCTCCCTTCTCAGGAAGGCTGATGACTACATGGCCCAGGGTGGGAGGGACAGTGGGTCTTCCGTGGCCCTCCTCCGTGGCCAGTGGGGCTGGTGAGGGGCCTGGTGAGCTGTCCCTGAGGTCCCTCCCCTGAGCCAGGCTGCCTTTGGGAGCCCCAGCCGTGGCCCAGCCCCCTCAATGGACACAGCAGGTGAGCCAGGTGAGCCCTGAGGAGAGGGGCTTCCGTGGGCAGCTTGTGGCAAGCGCTTATTAAGCCCCTGCTGTGTGCAGGCCTGGCTGCAGCGGCTGGGGAGCCGGTGGGTGCTCCTGGGGACAGGCAGGGAGGGGTGGCGAGTGCCAGGTGGCCCCCTCCCCTTCTGCTTTCGAGGACCAGCGGGGGCAGGCGGGGCAGTGGGGTGTCCCTGCAGAGGGCCTCCCCAGAGTCCGGGCAGAGCCAGCCAGCCGTTGGGATGCCCCTCCCTGCCCTGGGCTCGCCCCCACCCTGGGGGTACCTTGAACAAAACAGGAAATTTCAAACAACAGGAAACCGAGGCCAGGCTGCGAGCTCCACCCTGCCGGGCCTCAGTCTGCCCCGGGAGGCCATGAACGCCACGGGGGCCCCGCTGCCCCTGGACGCCTGCCACCAACTGGCGGCCGGTGGGCACAGCCGGCTCATCGTCCTGCATTACAACCACTCTGGCCGGCTGGCGGGGCGCGGGGGGCCGGAGGACGGCCTGGGGGCCCTGCGCGGGCTCTCGGCGGCGGCCGGGGGCCTGGTGGTGCTGGAGAACCTGCTGGTGCTGGCGGCCATCACCACCCGCATGCGCTCGCGGCGCTGGGTCTACTACTGCCTGGTCAACATCACGCTGAGCGACCTGCTCACCGGCCTGGCCTACCTGGCCAACGTGCTGCTGTCCGGCGCCCGCACCTTCCGCCTGGCGCCCGCGCACTGGTTCCTGCGGGAGGGCCTGCTCTTCGCGGCCCTGGCGGCCTCCACCTTCAGCCTGCTCTTCACCGCGGGCGAGCGCTTCGCCACCATGGTGCGGCCGGTGGCCGAGAGCGGGGCCACCAAGACGGGCCGCGTCTACGGCTTCATCGGCCTCTGCTGGCTGCTGGCCGGGCTGCTGGGGCTGCTGCCCCTGCTGGGCTGGAACTGCGTGTGTGCCTTCGAGCGCTGCTCCAGCCTGCTGCCCCTCTACGCCAAGGACTACGTCCTCTTCTGCGTGGTGGTCTTCGCCTGCATCCTGGCCACCATCCTGGCCCTCTACGGGGCCATCTTCCGGGTGGTGCAGGCCAACGGGCAGAAGGCCCTGCGCGCCCCGGCCCGACGCAAGTCCCGCCGGCTGCTCAAGACGGTCCTCATGATCCTGGTGGCCTTCGTGGTGTGCTGGGGCCCGCTCTTCTGCCTGCTGCTGGCCGACACCTTCGGCTCCACCGTCTGGGCCCAGGAGTACCTGCGGGGCATGGACTGGATCCTGGCGCTGGCCGTGCTCAACTCGGCCATCAACCCCCTGATCTACTCCTTCCGCAGCCGGGAGGTGTGCCGGGCCATGCTGGCCTTCCTGTGCTGTGGGTGCCTCCGGCTGGGCCTGCGGGGCCCTGGGGACTGCCTGACCCGGGCCACCGAGGCCCACTCTGGAGCGTCCACCACGGACAGCTCACTGAGACCCAGGGACAGCTTCCGGGGCTCCCGGTCGCTCAGCTTCAGGATGCGGGAGCCCCTGTCCAGCGTCTCCAGCGTGCGCAGCGTCTGAGGCAGCGCTGGGCACAGGCACCCGCCAGGCCCGCGGGAGGTGGCTCCTGGCCCTGCGGTCTTCCTGCTGATGCCGAGCGGCTTTCCCCGGGGCCCTGGACAGGGCGGCCACTGTCCACCACGGCGGAGAGCACCTGCAGCAGGTGGCAGGTCGGCGAGGCCCCGGCTCCGGGGGGGGGCTCCTGGGCCACAGAGCTGCGGCTGTGAGGGGCGGGCTGGGGGGCTGAGGCCTGGACTGCAGGGACGGTACCCGGGTCACCAAGGAGCCTGTGTGCAGGGGGTGACGACGCGGGGGCGATGGGCTGCTGGCTGTGTGCGGGGGCAGGTGTGTCCTCGCAGACAGGGTCACGCACGTGTGCTTGGGAGTGTGGTCCTGAGTGGGGGTGTGTCTGCCGGGGTGGACTCTGTGTGTGTGTGTGAGTGTGTGTGGCAGCCACTCCCTGCGCTGCAGGACACCAGGTAGGACGGTGACACGTGTCCTCTCTCTTCTCGGTCACTCCCCTTGGGGGAATGGATTTCTTCCCCAGCTCTACCTCTGCATCTTTTGGGGACCAGATGGGGGCCAGCCGGGAGGACGAGGCCCAGCCCCCTGGCCTGTGTTCCCTCCCCCACTGTGAACCCAGCTCATCACGGAACCCAGGGGGACAGGCAGGTGCTGGCCAGGGCACCTGCACCCAGGGGGACCGTCCAGCGACCGCGGACGCGTTCTCAAGAGTGGAGAACAGAGCCGCCCATGTCAGGACACTCCATTGACCTAGTTTACGTTAAATGGCAGCCGTGAGGCCTGGGGGGCTCCCTTGCCCGGCCAGCCCAGAGCTCAGGAGAGGGCTTTGGGATGCCCCCGTGGGTGCTGGGCACCGGCAGCCCACCCAGGTGGCCGTTTCTCTGCCGCAGCAGTGGAGGTGGCGACTGGCGACCGGTTCCCCCGCTGCCCGGTGCTGTGCCCACCGGCCTGGCTACACAGAACTCATTAAAACCAACAAACCTGAAGGTTGAGGTGCCACGTGTCGGTTCCCTGGGGCCACAGACGGCCTCCAACGGCAGGGCCACTCCTCCGCCGGGTTCTGGAGGCCGAAGTCAGGGTCCAGGTGTGGCCAGGGCTGGCTCCTGAGGCCCCTCCAGGGTCTGGTGGAGGCTGGCGGCCTCGGTGCCCTGGGCTTTGGGAAGCTTCTCCTGAGCTCCCCTCCATCTCGGTCGCCCTGCACTGGGACGGCCCACCCCCCTGGGCCCCAGTCCTGCTGACTCCGGGGCAGGACCCTGCTTCCGAGCAGCAGCCCTTGCTGGGGTCCTGGGGGTCAGGGCTTGACGGCTGGATCGGGGGCACAGTAGGCCTGCGACAGGCACAGGATCACGTTTCCAGAGGAACCCGCTGGGCGCAAGGCTGGCCAAGTGCCCACACAGGGATGCTCACTGGACGGATGGGGCAAGCTCCCGGCGCCTGGCGAGGGGCCTGTTACCCACCACCCCCCCGCTTCCTGCCTCTGCTCGGGGCCAGGGCAGACAGGTGGGGTCCAGGCAGGAGGCAGGGCCTGGGCAGCCCAGCCCTGAGCCTGTCTCTGTGCCCTTGGGAGCCGGGGCTGGGCTGCTCGCTGCTCCCTCCACCTGGGGCCTGCGTCTGGCTGGCCCTGGCCTTTCCCTACCGCTCACCCCGGCCCAGCCGTTGAGCTGACCTTTGGCATCCCCTCACGTCACCTCCCTGGTCTGCCCCTAGGACTCCTTTGGGCTTCGCCAGCTGCCCAGGTGGCCTCCACCCTGGCTCCAGTCCCTGACCACACATGCCCCTCCTCTGGCCCTCTCGCTGCCTGGGCCGTCCCCAGCACCCAGCCTGTGGCCCCGTGCACACAGGCCCCTAGTGACCCAGGGCTCTGGGAGCCCCTGCTGGTCTCAGAACCCGCTTTCCCGCTTCGCCTCCACACAGCTGTCCCCAGGAGCTGCGCCTTGGGTGGCTCAGGGACTCCCTGCCCGGGTCTAGAGCTGAGTAGCCGCACCACCAGCCTGTCTCCTCACCCGTGGAGCGAGGGACGCTGGGAAGGTTCCAGAGACGGCGCGTCGCGTGCTTTTGTTTCGTTGGGGGTGGTTGGAGCCCGGGCCTCGTGCTGACCAGGCTGGCCTCCGCACTGAGTGCACCAGGCCTTGCGGGTCCAGCTGTCAGCCTGGCCTGGGGAAGGGGTGGCAGCGGGCAGAGGTGACAAGGGACGGGGCCAGTGAGAGGCACGCACACCAGGATCAGCTCCCATGCTGCTCACCTCCTGCACCCAGGGCCTCCCTGGAGAGGCCTGGGGCAGCCGGAGCAGGGTCCGCAGACGGGGTGCTCGGCTGGTCTGCTGGGGGCGCCACTACCCATCCATGCGACCACTGTGTGTCAGCATTCTGGGATCTGCTGGGCCTGGGAGGAGGGGGAGCCTGCCGTGTAGACACCCCAGAAGCCACGTCCAGGATCAGGTGCCGGCGCATCTGCCCGACGTCCATACCCGTCCGCACCTTCTCAGAACACCAACACAGACTGAGCGCTTACGGCAGCGGCTCTTTCTCTAACCAGTTTGCACTGATGACCTCAAATCCTCACATGCCTCTGGTGGTGGGTGAGGAACTGCAGCTACTTGTCATCATATTTGACAGCTGAGGAAACTGAGGCTCAGAGAGGTGAAGCAACTTGTCCCAGGGCACAAAGCTGGGAAAGAGAGGAGCTGGGATTTGAACTTGTGCTTTTACTTAGTACAAATGCCACTTCTCAGAGAGTACCGAAGGGAGGCCTTGGGTGACCTCACTGGAGCTTGGGATGTCAACATGAGGGCTGGGGCTCTGGCTGCACCCTTGGCCTCAGTCTTCCCACCTGTGCAAGGGGGTGTGGGCTACTGATGATCACGGTCCCCTGGCCTCGAGACACCAAGCTGTCAGGTTAGGGAAACATCAATAGGATACCCAGGGACTAAACTTTAATTTCTAATGAATCACATTTTTTCCCTTTTCTTAGTATAAGTATGCCTCAAGTAAGGGTAAACACAAGGACGCCGCAGCCCCCGCACGTGGTCCAGGCTCCAGACTACAAATCCCAGCGCCCCCTGCACCGTGGCCGCCGTCCCGCAAGGGTTTTACCCTTTTCTCATTCATTCACCCGAAAATGGCGCTGCCGCCCGCCGGGGCCAGGCGCTGCGCTCAGGGCTCTGGGACGACACCGATGCTCGACTCCTGCAAAGGTCTGAGCCGTCGTCAGCTTGACATTTAAATTTTGGGGGAATTTTAAATTTTGTTCCTCCGCCCCAGAAACTACAATTCCCATGATCCTTTGTGCTCGTGCAAAGGGACCACGACACCCAGGAGGACCAGCGCGCCAAAGAGGCACTTCCTCCTCCAGCTTTCCCCCCCCCCCCCCGCATTTCCTTCCAGGTCGCAAGGTCACGTCCTGACCGCGTCTCTTATCTCCCCGCTCCGCGCCGCTACCTCAGCCAATGCCAGGGTCTAAGCAAGTTCCACTGGAGAATGGCTGCCCAAAGCTAGGTCGTTCCCGACTTGGGATTCATGTGAAATTCCGGTAGCGTTAGCGAAACAACCCCTCAGGGCTTCCGTCGGGAGTCCGCGGTGGGCCTACAACTCCCAGGCGGCTCCGCGCGCCCGGGCGGACTACAGCTCCCGAGAGGCAGCGCGCGCAGGGCTGCCCGCGGCGATGCGTGCAGGACCCCGGTGCAGACGCGGGCTGCCCGACGCGTTGCCCGCAGGACCCCGGCGGCTACTCATGCCGAGGTGAGTCCGCGGGAGCCGCGGCCGCCGTCCCGTCGTCCCGTCCCGTCCCGTCCCGTCCCGTCCCCGCCGCCGCCCCGCGCGGACCCGCCGCCGGCCAGGATGCTGGAGGAAGCGGGCGAGGTGCTGGAGAACATGCTGAAGGCGTCGTGCCTGCCGCTCGGCTTCATCGTCTTCTTGCCCGCGGTGTTGCTGCTCGTGGCGCCGCCGCTGCCCGCCGCCGACGCCGCGCACGAGTTCACGGTGTACCGCATGCAGCAGTACGACCTGCAGGGCCAGCCCTACGGTGCGTGCGCGCCCCGCCCCGCCGCGTGCGCCGCCGAGCCCGCCGCCGGCCCGGCCCGGCCCGGCCCGGGCGGCAGACCCGTGTCCAGGCCCGCCGGCCACCAGGTCCACTGCAGCGCTCACCCTGGCCCCCTCCTGCGCTGGTCGGTGCGCCCGCGATGGGCTGCCTTGACCTGTCCGGTCCGTCCCAGTCCACCCAGCTCTCCGCACGGCCAGCCGCTGCACCCACCGCCCTGCCCTGTCCAGCCGACTCCGTCCCCATCCCTCGCCCAGGCCGGCCTCCGCCTGCTTCTGGCCTGCCCTTCGGTGTCCCCTGACCCCACTCTTGTTCCTTCTGTTGACACGTCGCCCTCAGCCCAGCGTCCACCTCCTCCACCCCAGAGCCCACCTGCTCCCTCCTCCCAGGCCTCCTGAGGTCTCTAACTCTGGCTCAGGTCCCACCCACGACCCCTGACCTGGACCTGCTCAGCTGCCTGCTCAGCTCTTGCCCCCGCCCCACCATCTGTCCCCCAGTGCCGGCGGTCAGAGCGCCCTCTGTCGCCCCAGCCCTACTGGGTTCCAGAATCTTCTGGTGTCTGGTTTGCCTTCCCTCCAGTCTGACCCCAGAGTTGAGTCTTGCCCTCCCCTCAGGGTCCCCTGTGCACATTCGGGGCCACTGCTGGGGGACTGCTGGAGGCTAGCCCCCGCCTGTGGACCGGCCTCTGCCAGGCCCCGGGAGCCAGATTCCCATGGCCTCTTGGATTCCCTCTGCCCCAAAGTGGCCTCGTTTCTTTCTAGAGAGATGGTTTGTCAGCCCGGGAGATCCTGGGCCATGTCTGGGGACATGTGGTTGTCATGCCCGGGGTGTCCTGCCCTGGAGTGGTGGAGGCCAGGGACACTGCTCAGCACCCTCAGTGCTCAGGACCCCTCTCTCCCCAGGCGACTGTCCAGCCCAGTGTCCCCCGCGCTGAGGGGCCGTGGGTTAGAATGAGCACTTCCCTCCAGCTGTCCGGCCTCTGCCCTGGGGACAGGTCTTGAAGGGCGCTGTCCAGTGGAACCGCGTCTCTTGTCTGGTCTGGGAGCTGCCAGCCTCTGGTGGCCGAGGACGTGGTGTTTAGTGCTATTTAATTGTAACAAATTCAAGTGGCCCCATGTGGCCAGCAGCTACCTAGCCGGGCAGCACAGCCCTGGGGCGCAGGAGGTTTTTCTAGAAGAGCCCACAGATCAGAATGCCAGCCCCCGACCTGGGGCACCCTGCTTCTCCATGTCCTGTGTCACCGCCCCTGCCCGGCTCATCTCCACCTGTCCTTCCTGTGCACCCCACTTGTTACCAGCCCCTCAGTGAGCTGCCCACCTGGGCCTAGTGCTGCCCCTGCAGGCAGCCGGAGTGACACATGGGAGAAGACAGCCTTGCCCCCAGAAGTTGGCTGAGTTTGTGGGGCCTTCGGTTCCTCTGCGCCTCCCGGCCTCTGCCTCCTCCATCCCGGCCTCTGCCTGCTGCCTCCCTGGCCTCTGCCTCCTCCCTCCCTGCCTCTGCCTGCTGCCTCCCCGCCTCTGCCTGCTCCTCCCGGCCTCTGCCTCCTCCTCCCAGCCTCTGCCTCCTCCTCCCTGCCTCTGCCTTCTCCCTCCTGGCTTCTGCCTGCTCCTCCCGGCCTCTGCCTCCTCCTCCCGGCCTCTGCCTCCTCCTCCCGGCCTCTGC